TTAAAACAAAATAAATAAAATAAATAAAACAAAAACAAAAAAGTTAATCAGCTCCTCACCGCATTGCAGCAGAAACAAAGTTGGCTTCGCCAGGTGCATCGAGTCCGTCTTAGGAAGGAGACACTGCAGAGAAAAAAAATAAAAAAAAATAAAAAAATAAAAAAAAAGAAAACAATAAAATATAGAATAAGGAAAACAATAAAGTAAAAAAAAATAAGCAACGAGAAGAAAGAGAAAACAAACAAAAAAAAATAAAACAACAGACAAAAAAACCACTTAAATAAAAAAAATAAGGAATTCAATGTATTTATAATTTTCCTCACAATAAGACACGAATCTTTATCTGTTTCTTCGTGTGCATGCATGGGTGCTGTCTTGTTGCATGCATGCGGAGCTGTACATACACCCGGGGATGTGAGCTGCAGCAAGCTGGCAGCAGCAGTCCAGCCCTCTGCATGCTGCTGCACTTCAATCAAAGGAGAACCAAAAGGCCCAGCTACAGGCCGCTGCGGGATGCATGCAGAAGCAGCAGCAGGAGAGGCCTCCAGCTCTCTGCTGCTTCTGCTGCGGCACAGCCGCACAGCTTTCAGGGGTAACCACTGACAAGGAGGGGGTGTTAACACTCTCTTGTTGCTGCTGAGGTTTATATGAGTTGAATACCACGAAAAAATTATAAGAAAAAACAAAAAAAAACGCACCACAAGGCAGAGGAAGAAGGAGAAGAAGAAGACGATGAAATCCTAGGTTTAGGTGGCTGCTCTGCTGCAGCGAGATGTCGAGGAGTTTCTGTGTTGTAGTTAAAATTAAAACAAAAATTAATGCATGCAAGCCGCTGAGAGGAGAAAAAAAAGAGTTCAATAAGAAAGAAACAGTATACAGCTGCACGCATCACGCACGCACCGAATTCAGCTGTATCTGCAGGTCTTGCTGCATGCAGCAGTCGTTCGTGTGTTGTTAATAACTCTGATTCAGTTTCCTTTTCTCTACTGCATTTGGCGCAGGGAGAAACTGATGGGGGAGATGCTGCTGTTGAGTTGCTGCTG